ATGTATCAAATAGTTATGATACTTAAAAATATAATTACCTACTTAATAATTAAATAAATTAGTCATTTACTTAATTTAAATTAATAAATCAATGTATTTGCATAAGTGTCATGCTGTATAATAAAATTAGTCAAACCTAGAGAATTGTTTGTATTTTTACTGCAGTATCATGTTAGATAATATTTGTTAATATGGTTATTTTATACACACAAAATTATATTCAAAGGGAAAATGTCAATTTCACTCAAAACTGAAAGCAATTATCTCTGAAACTTGATTTGTGCGATAATTGAAAAGGATGTTTTTTGTACACAATTAAATTAACTAACAAACCTAACAAATATATATTTTTTAATGTCAACCAAAAATTGTGTTCAAATACTTAGTTGACCATGGTGAATGTAGCACCCCAAACCTTTTAAGTTTGCTTAAATACTATAGAAGTACGTATAACGTATATGTTGACTATGGTCAATGTATGTCATAAGACGTCATTTTGTCGCACGAGTACAAAGGACAAAGTGTGCGACAAAGGTATTTTGACATGAGTTCTTTATGCAATTTTATCTATTTTGCAAAAATTCTATAAAAAAAAATAATTTTATACCTTATATTTAATTTGGTCTAATTTTACTTTAGATAGTTGGTATCATTAAAATTTAAGAAAAACAATTATTTACTAAAGACCATGGTCTTCTTAAAAAAAAAAAATTTGCCTCAGTTCGCCTCACGACAAAAACGCGCGAAAATATTTTCTGTTACAAAAAAAGTTGCATTTTTGGTTGTAACTATCTTGTTTATATAAAAACAAAAAATGCTAATTATCTCCAATATTAAAAGCAAAGCTAATAAATATATTTACTTTAAATTTATGTACCTATCCCATTTTTACTACCATATATTACTCATATTATTAATTATTGTATCACTCATTCATATTTTCCCATTGATTGAAAAAAGCATTAATAGTGCCTCTTCCAAAAACGTCCCACTAGTCTAAATAACCCACGACCAAAAATATTGGAAAAGGTTCTAGAAAAGCAATTAAAGAAATATTTGTTATCTTTTGACATTATACCTCCAAACCAGTCAGGATTTCGTTCTTCTCAAAGTTGTAGCACTGTTTTACTAAGTATTACTGATGATATATTGAAGGTGTCTGATAACAAAAAATTAACAGTCTTGTCCTGCTCGATTATCCAAAAGCATTTGATACTAAAGGGTGTCCAATTAGGTACGCTCGATCTTTGATATATCATATATATATATAGGCGGCTATGGCTAAGTCAGTACAGACACAGCTGTCAAATATTTTGAAGTTTTGTTGGCATATTATGACATTTGATAATGGAGCGTTCAGTTCGATTTTATCCTTCATCGTGTGTACATCGCTCCATGAAAAAGTCTGAAAATAGTTTACTTTGACCCAGGAAGGATAAAATGGGGTTCCCGGTATAGAAATATACCGGTATTTCTCGACAATATCGCAAGCTTTGTCCTTTCAGCGAGGAATTTTGTGATTTGTGCAATTGATGTAGTGGATGTTTCAAGATTTGAAATTCCACATGTTCTACTTGTAACTGGTTAAAAGAGCCACAACGGCTCAGACCAATTCCATTACTGAGGGAGAGGCTTATGGTACGGTTGCTCAACGCATTCAAATTATTCAAATTTACCAAAAAAATCAATGTTCAATTCGCCAAACGTTTCAAGCATTGCGTGCGATTTATGGTCAGAATGAACGTCCTGCAGAGTCAACTATTCGCCGCCTCATAAATAAATTTAGAACAACTGGTTCAGAGCGCGACCAAGCAACACCCATACGTCGACGAACGGCCAGAACAATTGAAAATATTGCCGTTGTTCGTGAGAGCTTGCTTGAGAATCCGAGGAGTTGATTCGTCGACGTGCGCAAGAAGCTGGCATTTCGAAGAGTTCAACTTGGACTATTCTTCGTCGGGACCTAAAATTTTATCCTTACAAGATTCAATTGCCGCAAGAACTAAAGCCGCAAGACCACGGACTACGCCGCACATTTGCCGAATGGGCTCTAGAGCAGTTGGCGACCGATCCAGCTTTTGGAAAAAAAGTCATTTTCAGCGACGAAGCGAATTTTTGGATGAACGGCTATGTAAACAAACAAAACTGCCGAATTTGAGGCGATCAGAACCCTCAAGTAACCCAAGAGATTGCCATGCATCCGGAAAAAGTGACAGTGTGGTGCGCATTCTGGGCGGCTGTTGTTATTGGACCGTACTTTTTTGAAGACGAACGTGGCGCAGCGCTAACCGTCAATGGAGACCGTTATCGTAATATGATAACTGGTTTTTTTTTGCCTAAATTAAATGACATCAATCTTACGAATATCTGCTTTCAACAAGACGGGGCTACGTACCACACTGCACGCGCAACGTTGGATTTGCTGCATGAAAAGTTCAACGGCGTGATTTCACGGGGCGGCGATATCCAGTGGCCACCGATATCATGCGATGTAATGCCGCTGGACTTTTTTTGTAGGGCTACGTAGGTAAAGTCCCTTGTGTAAGTGAATAAGCCACGAACAATTGAAGCGTTGAAGGCCAACATTACTCGTATAATATATGAAATCGAACCCGAAATGTGAGAAAAAGTGATAGAAAATTGTTTATGAAATTATTAAAAAAACATTTTTTATGGAGTTCAATCAGTTCATCAACAAGCTCTGTAAATTAAATTAATTTAGAATTATAAAATTGTAAATGTTTTAAGTATGTTGGTACCTAACTTAAATTTTGCCAAATACTATTCCATTTAAAAGTTATTATTTTTTTAATAAAACAAAAATATATTTTTCTGGGGCTGTATTTATTATGTTTATTTATTACATAATAACATATGTTATTATTATTTATAATGTTGGTAAATTAAATTTTGCCAAATATCATTCCATTTAAGTTATTATTTTTTTTAAATAAAACAAATATATTTTTCTGGGGATGTATTTATTGCTTTTTACAATGAAGACATCATGTTTACACCCGCTTTTATTGAAGTTTTTTTATTTTAATTTTTATAAAGCCTTGCAGACGCAAACATTTGAACAATTGAACAAATGTGGTGATGTCAGGTCTCATTAAAGAAAGAATTACCCAATTGCAATTTTGCTCTTGCCCTTGTTCATTTTTTTTCTTTTAAAGCTAGGTCACGCTTTCCACAAAACATAATGGTAAAAATAATATAATTATGCTTTTGTTGGGTTATCTTGAATTAGTTTTTTTTCTCCAATATATAAATGTAGGCAAAAAATATGTAATGTGATTTTCAAAAAGTTGACTTAACGCAGTTTGGGTGTACAGATATTAATTAAGTTGACTACACAGTGGCAGTAATAGTAATTGTTGGCAATATTCTCATTCAAAAGGTACCTAACCTATCATTAACAATTAAAAAAAAGTTAACATTAACAATTTTGCGAAAAATTATTAAAACTTCTGCTTGTTTAAAAAAGGAGATTACCATAAAAAAAATTGAACTAAATGTACAGGGTGCTCAAATATTAAAAAAACATGATAATGCTTCAATAGAGAAGTACCTTAATTTATTAATCTATAGAAAGTCGTTGACGATTCAAATTAAAGTCTAAATACGAAATAAAAATTATTATTATAATTTTAAATTTTATTTAAAAATGTTAAAATAAAAAAAGTATTTAGTATTTCTGTGGGTAAAAGGCATAAGGGGATAAGTCAAAAAAAGTAATTTTTCAGTAGAGCCTTAATCGTATTCGCACTAATTCAGGAAACATATTTATGGTTAGCGGGTATACCCTTTTGTTAGCACATGCCATATGCTAATAAAAGAGTATACCCGCTAAACATAAATATATTTCCTAAATTAATGCGAACACGTTAAAGTCTCTATTAAAAAATTGCTTTTTTTGACTTATCCCCTTATGCCTTTTACCCACAGATTTGGACTTTTGAATTTTCAGCGACCTTTTTTTTATAAAATAATAAATAAAAGACTTCTCCCTTTAATATTAAATATTTTATGTAAAGGTACATAAGTTAATAAATAGAATAAAATTTTATTTTGTATTTGAACTTAAATTTAAATTGTCAACAACTTTATCTTTTACAATTTTTCTATTAAAAGCACCCTCCACATTTAATTCAATTTTTTAACTTGCAGGAGTTTTTATGAAAAATGATTTTTTTTTCGTAAAACGCATAATAAAATAGTTTTATTGGCAACCCGATCCGTGGACACACTGTATATTAGTAATAATCTATTAATAATCTATTACCAAAATAAAACATACAATTTCTTAATAATAAGTAATATTATATATATATATATTGTTACATTGAGTACTTTGCAGATAGAGTTGAGTTGGGTTGGAAATTTCCAGGGAAAGGCAAGACTTCTTCCCCCTGGAAATAGAGTACTAGTACTCCATTTCCAGGGGAAAGTACAGCTGTACTCATGGGCGCCCATGAGTACAGTACTTTATTTGGTATCAACTGAAAAATTAAAAATACTGAACATTTCTTAATCTGTCCTTACTTAAGCGGAACTTTATCATACAGTTGTGCCTATATGTTACAAAAATATTAACCTCTTGGTCGGTTCATTTATTGAGCCTTATTATTTTAAGGATGACTTTTGATTTAGGAAAGTTTTTTGATTTAGGAATGCATTTAAATGCGGTTTTACTACATTTTTATGAATATTTTTTCTTAATATTAAAAACATAATTACGTGTTTAAGGAGAGTTTTAAAATTATAATTACAGTAGGTACAGTAGGTACCTAGTTCCATTTTATTTATACATTACATTAAACATAAGTACCATAAATATGTACAAAGAAGTTCTTGTATAAATTCAACACCTTATATTTAACTTAGAATTAATATAATCTTGATGTTTTCAAAAGGACATCCAGCGTTTTAAGCATTAGTGTCTACGTACGTAGAGTAGGTACTATAACAACCAGGTTTATTCTGTGAACAGAACCAGCAAGCAAACGGCAAAGAGTAGTGAACCCGCGTATGCCGACTGTTTTTGTAAAACCGACACAAAGCTGGTGGAAGTGGAAATCGTTTGACGTAAACCCAACAATTCAATATCTATGTCGCTTACGTTCCGGAGAAATCAGTCGAACGGTTATGCTATAGACCAATACTTATTATACTTACACAACCAAGGGATACTAAAAAAGATATAGTGAACGATTGGATAGTGAGGTTTTTTGTGTGAAAATAATTTTTGAACCTTTTTGTGCCAAAGACCCTAAACAATGTGTGTGAACCAAACTACCATGGTGCCCGCTGTTGTTAATTTAGTTGCAATGAAAGGACGTGATACTTACTCTGGATTTATATCTGAATTTTCTTGCTTTAAATGCAGAACTTTTTCGGTAAGACCAAAAGCTGTAGCAAGTGCTACTATAACTATAAAAGTTACATTATTTTTTTACTTATTAAAGGTCATCATATAATTAGTAAGAGCGTGATTTAAATTGCGTGTATTTTATATTCATAATTAACTTTTAATTTTAAATGCATGCAACGTCTCAAAAGACATTAAATTAAACTTAAATTCACTTTATTGTTTAGTCCAACCTTTTAAGTTTGTATTAAATACTTGGTCAGGTATCATCGGAAATGTACACCAATGTACAACTCTGTCACACCTTAATGAAGTTGTTCTTATCAAAGTGGAATTTTATTGTTACATATAACACTTATTTCTTTTTACTAATTGATTAGGTACTTATATAACATAATAATATGTCCTTTTTATCTGTTTCATTATGTGCATTTTAATGTTAGTATTGGAATCGTTTTAAAGATAAAGATTGTAGGTACATTATTTTACAGTAAAAACTGTGTCAAAATTAAGTAATAGAAACACTTATAATTAAGTACATACAATTTGATTTGGGCATTAAATTACTTATTTAAAAACATATTGTCTAATTATCATGAAACAATAATTAAAGCAAAACGCAAGTAAATATTTTTTTTAAAAGCCTTGACATTTTTAAGGAAAATTATCATTCAAATTGCCCGGTTTCTCTAGGCATGCATTTATAAGATACCTACTAGAACTTTTTAAGGTGTAAAATTTACACTGTTAGTTTTTTTGTAACAAAAAAATCTCGAATTTGGTGGACAGGGTCGTCAATTACGTAGAACGTTGTGTCATTTTTATAGTATCCGCTATAGATGCGTTGACGTTTTTCTATTCGTATTAGGAAATCGGAAAATGTTAAGGACAAATTCACACCGTTCAAGAAAATATAAACACTTCAATGCATTCCATTTAAATTAATTAAGAAATAAACAACTACAATAATAATTACATACTCTATCTAATCTAATTAACCAAATAGCATTGTTACTTCTATAAAACCTTCTAAAAGTGTACAGATACTTATGTAATGCAAGTAGCTTGTAACTTAGGTAATCATAAAGCATTATAAAAAAGTCGATTCAGGTCAAATTATATTATTATATTATGTTCTTCTTTACAGTCAGGAGAAAAAGACTTGGAAGCTACAGATCTATGGAAGTATAAACATACGAAACCTGTGAGATCGACTTCTCCACACAATGCTTTCAAACGTTGGCGGAAATCCAGCCTCAAACCGTCAGAGTCAAAAAATGCCATCAATGACTCCAAGACGAATACGAAGGAAAATGGCAGCGAAGAGGACATGTCTTTGTTAAAAATATTTGCAATTGTAAGTATAAATGTTGTAAAAATTGTAATTTTATAAAATTAGATTTTTAAATATTGTGTAGTTGTAAAAGGCTAATTCATCTGTGAAAACACAATTATTTTTGTAGCTGATGATCCCTATTTTTCCGAGCTGTTTAATTTATTCGAGCAAAGATGAATATTTATTTACAATTTTCTACTTTTATTAAAATCGTGTGTTTCATCCGTCGTAATCTCTTCATAGAAACCGGTATAAATCAAATTCAATTTACACGCTGAAAATTAAAAATCATGAAGATTCTAATTATAGCCAGAACAGACTTGTAATTGATCTAAATTTACCACGAAGCATAGCAATGATCGGTGAATTCGATACATGACCAGTCAATGTTAATCCCATTACTTTTATCCGTTTTATTTTTAGTGACGTCAACAAAATATATTAACTTTAGTGCGATTCTGATAAATTTTCGTCTCGCGCTTACCAAAATGAGAGTTTTTTTTATTACAATTGTAAGTTTAAACTATCGTTGATTTTAATTAAAGGTGCTCACTTATTATCCGGGTAATCATTTTTTTTTAATTATGTAGTAGGAATCCTACTGTAGGATCATCATAAATTATATTTATGAATATTATTATTATTTATAGATTATTATTTAAATACGTTTTTATGTATAATTTAAAATTGTTGACTAGTTTGTCATTGTAATTTTTATCATTAGCATTTTTTATATAATTAAAAATACTTTTACAACATATAAATTAAGACACGATCATTCATAAAACTCATGCACCAAAGTTTAATTTGGCTTGACCCTTGCAATAAATAATCTTTTAACTAGTGTAAACCAGATTAATTATTATAATTATATTTTAATAGTACGTAAATACAAGCAGGTCTATAAATTTTAATAAGAGCATCAGCGATATATGTATCGTACCTATAGGTACGTAAATGCAAAACCAATTGATATTCATCAGGTAATTTCGGAACCGATAGTCAATAACGAAACGTGCAAAAAAATCTCCGTACGTTTTATTGTGTTAAAAAATAATGCAAAGTTTTTGCCCTTGATTAAATGGTACTCCTGACGGCATGAAAAGTGAGGTCGCGCCTAAATTAGCGAAGCTTGTTCGCATAATAAATATTTAATATTAAAAAAAGAATTTTACAACGCAAACAGTTCTTCGTTTGACGTCATTTTCATTGCTAAGAACACCATAATTAACAGACAATTAACTTAATTGAAACAAATGTAATCCCTTTGTAACGCTGGCGCGACTAATATTCTCAATATGTCTTAAATAGTATATTCTGTAACAAGTTTGGAATACGGCATATTCCGTATGTATTATGTAAACACTTTAAGGAATATATGTCATTCCACATTAAAAAGTTAAATTAGATATTATTTATCAAGTTTTATAAACCCCATTTCAGTTACGAGTTTTATTAGGTACGAGCGAAGCTTGCAAGCGAGGGTTTCATAAAAACGAGTGTCTAGAGAAGTTTATAAAACGAGTTGCATATTATACTTTATCTACGACGAACAGGAATAAGAATTTAAAGCCAACTTTAAATTTAAAATGCCCAAAAGCCACTGTTGCTAACTTCAGCCCGTGACTAAAAGGCCATAAAGTCACAGCATATCAATGGGGAAGTAGATAAATACGTTTTTTGTTCGTCAAATGTCAAATATTCATGAATTAAAGTTGGCTTTAAATTCTTATTCCTGTTCGTCGTAGACACTCGTTTTTATGAAACCCTCATTCGCAAGCTTCGCTCGTGCCTAATATAACTTCTAACTAAAATGGCGTTTATAAAACTTGATACATAATATACTATTATCTACTCCCCCAGTGACAAGCTGTGACTTTATGGAGCTTTAGTCACGGGCTGAAGTTTAATTATAAATTAAGAAAAAGTGAGGTTAAATTCTTCAAATGTCAAATATTTATAAATTAAAATTGGCTTTCAATTCCTATTTCTGTTCGTAGTAGATAAAGTTTAGTATGCAACTCGTTTTATAAACTTCTCTAGACACTCGTTTTTATTAAACACTCGCTCGCAAGCTTCGCTTGTGCTTAATAAAACTCTTAACTAAAATGGCGTTTATAAAACTTGATACATAATATACTATTATCTACTTCCCCATTGATAAGCTGTGACTTTATGGCGTTTTAGTCACGGGCTGAAGTTGGCAACAGAAGCTTTTGGGCATTTTAGTCACGGGCTAAAGTTAGCTCTATTATAAATTGGGAAAAAGTGAGGTTAAATCCGTTGACAGCTTACAGATGTCAAATTCTAACAAATAAAATTGGCTTAAAATTTCTCTTTGTGTTTGTAGATGTATACTTGCAACTCGTTTTATGAACTTCTCGAGACTCTAAGTTTTTATTAAACACTCGCTCGCAAGCGATATTATCAAACTACATACTGTCTGTAATAACCTCATATGGTAAATAAATCTGCCAAATAAATTAGCATTAAGCCATTAAAAATACCATGCCTTAAATTAGAATAATAAATACAGAATTCATGGGTGTTTTTCTTTTTAAGTTTTTATTATAAAGCAAGGTCTTTAATGTTAATAATATAGTAGGGTTTTCTATTGTTTATAGTACAAAATAATGTGTTAAAAAACAAATAGGAAATTTATATTTATATTTTTCTTCCAGAATGCATTGGATCTGACAGCACCAGCCAGCGATGTTTTGCTAAAAAGTCGCAGTACAAATTGGTTCCAGTTGAGCGGGCATCCTGATAGTTTAGCACCCGCAGGTCCTGGAACCGTTTGGAAAAAGAGGGCAGCTGGAGCAGACGACACCGAAAGAATTGTGTACGAACAATTATCTCAAGATCCACTGCTAAGCGACATTATCCCAAAGTATTACAGAGAGGTGGAATACCAAGGAGAGAAGTTCATAGAACTGCAAGATCTCCTACATGGTTTTCAGGATCCCTATGTAATTGACATTAAAATGGGAACACGTACATTTTTGGAATCGGAAGTAAAGAAATGTTCGGCTCGACCTGATTTATACCAAAAGATGATCGCAATAGACCCAAACGCGCCCACTTTGCAAGAACACGAAGAAAAAGCAGTTACTAAATTAAGGTACATGCAGTTCCGCGAGTTGCAATCGTCGTCGTGCAGTCAAGGTTTCAGAATAGAGGCTATGAAATGCAGAGGGTCACCGCCTGTTACAGATCTAAAAAGAGTTAAATCTAGTGAAGAAGTACTTAACACTTTGGATATGTTCCTTAATGGCAGAGAAGAAATAAAACTTCGAGTTATTTCTAGAATATGCGATATAAGGAGCAGAATTGAACAGTCAGAATATTTCAAAAGTAGAGAAGTCGTTGGAAGCAGTTTATTTGTTATTTATGATGATTCAAAAGTCGGAGTTTGGTTAATTGATTTTGCCAAAACCAATCAACTTCCAGAGGGTTTAACAGTCAACCATAGGACCGAATGGTTACAAGGAAACCACGAAGAAGGACTTTTGTATGGATTTGACAGATTAATAACGGTAAGAATTATGTTAACCCCATTCGCTGTAAACGCACTAGATATCTGTTAATATTTATGAACTTTTAATTACACCAATATTTTTTATTAGATTTTGGAAAATATTCCGGCATCGCCACACGAATCCCATCATTCTTTTTCGAGGCCCATCCCAGCTGTAAGTGTAAAGTCTTGAACAAATGGATGACAATTTCCTTAGGGATTTTTGAAAATTTGTATTGGAAAGAATCGTTTTGACGACGTTTCTTTTGACGAAGAATTGATTGTTTAGCAGAAACAAAGAGCCTGTGAATTTTGATGTGAATTGATTTGTACCTTGCATAATTGAGAATGTTTTACTAAGAAAAAGTTAAGAATATTGTATATGACAATGTGAGCAAGTATTAAATTAAGTGATTGTTGTGTACATAATAAATGTAAACTCTTACTGCTTTGTTATAAAATCTAGTCATTTATATTGTAGTATTTATATTTTAGGTTTAAGTAACAGTTACCAATTGAAAAATGGGACTACTGTACATTAATTGTATATTGAGTTTTTACACTTATACATTTTTTAGATTGTGTACTTATTTAATTAAAACGTTTTTTACTTTATTTTAATTGTTTTAATTTTGTATCCCTGTGGTATTAGTTGATAAACTAACAAGTAGACAATTGGACTAAGGTAGGCACAAACAAATCTTAAAATGATACCTATTCCCAGACTTGTAAATAAACTAGTGCAGGCAGTGCGTGCACCGGAGCCCTCGATTGTAGGGGCATCCAGGGCCAAAGCTTTAAGTATCCTTGAGGGACCTTTGGGACCAAAAAGCTTCACCAAAAAATGTATACTGGTTTAAGAAAAAATACCTATGTTCCCAGCTGCGGGAGGCTTCTAAAAAACTGGAAACATGTCTAGATATTTTTTACCGGGGGCTTCCGGCTGCAATATGCGTCCTTCAGGAATTAACAAAAAAAAGCAGGTCTACAAAATTTAAACATTTTTATATCAAAATTTTCCCAAGGCTTATGATGTGTTGAATTCGAATTAGATCAGATTTTAAAGTAATTTTTACCTAAAAGTAAAAAAAAGCGTTTTGTTTCTTCACGAAATTTTGTTCCTCCACTAAACTCGTTATTCAATTTTTTTCTCCTTTAAATCCCATTTAAAATTTTTCAATCTTTTTCCTCTTTAAGAAATTCTTTAATCAAAATGAATCAAATTTTTACCTTAACAAAACTCATAAGTTTGAACTACAGATTTCTAGAAAAGGAGAAAAGTAAATTTAAAAAATCAAAAATCAATAACCCTGATAACATTTAAATCACAATTATTGTGATATACATAAACATCAACAAGTAAATCACATATTATGTAAGCTCATAAACAACACAGTTTTATGATCACCACGAGCTCACTTGTGATTCGCGAGGGGATAACATTCTTGATTTACTAAAATTTTTTAAAAAAGCTCCTGCGTACGCTTAAACATTCACAATTTTCCTTCCTACACCATGATAAATTTTAGTAAATCACGAATGTTATACCCTCGCGAATCACAAGTGAGCTCAACTTAAGTTGAACTTCGCCGTCTTCATAGGGACGAGAAAGTAGTTCCTATGGCCAGCCTTGCAAAACGTCCACATGACATAGGATTAGTTTTAGAAGCGTATTCCAGAAACTACTACACCTACAGTGAGTGAGTGTGGCTAACATTGGGAATCAAGTCTAAAGTCAAGTCAAATCCAAGCCGGACTCTACATAAACACAATCATGCGTTGTCCATGCTCTATTCACGTGATCAACGAAAATTGTTGCACTGGGCCGTATTAAAATATATTGAATCAATATTATTGATCATTTAATATTTTAAATTTATTTTTTTAAACTTTGATGGAAAGGTTTTAAAATATTTATAAAATTTATATTTTTTAAATTACGAAATTAACAAAATTTTGGGAAATAATTTCATTATTATTTTAAATTTATTTTTTTAAACTTTAATGTAAACTTTTTAAATTTTTTACGAAAATTATATTTTTTAACACATTCACTGCCCACCCCAAAAAAGAGTATTGCTTCAGGTACCACCTAAGTTTTTCTTCATATTTTTTCATTTAAATAAGTGCATTTTGTTTCAAATAAATTTTAGTATAGGTTTTCAATTTTATTTAAAAAAAAAAACAAAAAACGCACCAGGTACACTTGTTGAGTTATAAACCATGTTCAGTGCCTATAAAGGCACCCCACGCGTTCTTGTTAATAAAATGGGAAAATCTTGTAAAATAATGTTATTTATTATTAAGAACGCGCCTAGCGCGGTGTGGGCATATGGCCGCAGTACTTGTAAACGCGCCATGCGCGTTTTGGGCAGTGAATGTGTTAAATTAACTTCGCGAAATTTTTGAAAATTATTTTAAATTTATTGTTTTAAACTTTAATAATTAAAGTTTAATGAAAACATTTATAATAACCTCTTTTATTTCCACACTTAAGTGATTTCTTTTAGACCGTTTTTTAACAGGGCTTAAGTCCTCAAAATGTTCAGCTTCGTCTGTGCTAGACATCGCACTTAATTGAATAATAATAATAACAATAAAAACCAAATAACCAATGCGGCCCTGGCAAGAATTTTCGGCACGCTTCACAACTCAGAATCGCCCAATAAGAACCGTTCTATCCACCTGCAAACGACTGATCACGCGTCTGGCGTTTTTTGTTTTAGTCCGTCTTGGATTTGACTTGACTATAGTAACCTTTAGGCTTTAAAATATCCAAAGGAGAATTTTCCAGACCAATTTATTGAACTAGTACATTCAAAAAAGTAATGCTTTAATTTTGTCCATCAGTTTATATCTGTACTAGTGATGTAACGAATATTTACTTATTCGCATGATTCCTGGACACAAAAATTCTTGCGAATGTTAGACGAATATAATATTAGCCTAAAGGTTACTTAAACAAGTTTGCCAAAGCCTGCTTAACGTAATCCTCAAACTGCTAGGAAATAATGTAAAAACAACTGAGTAGTGGTTTCAAATCAGTTGCAAACTTATTTGCGAACACGAAAAACCAAATGCATACCATACCAGAATGTAGTGCAGCAGCCTTTAGGGAATAATTAATAATTAGTTTTACTATATTTTACTAAATTAAAGCTAAAATTAAACTAAGCATGGGAAAAATAAATAGGTTTTCTTTTAATTATTTTTATTTTATTTTATTACAATAGTGATCAAAACAATTATTAAGTGAGATCAAATTACTACCATAATATAATACTTCAATAAATAAATAAATATTTAAGTATCGACTTCAATAAATAAATTATATCACACTAAAAAATATCAAAAAATGACTAGAGTATAAAAGCAAAATATTACCATGAATTGCACTATAAAGTTTTTACTTGTATTTAACAAATTTGTCTATACTATAACACATTCAATTTACATTAGTATTTATGTTATTAGTTAAATAATTAATAATATTAATTTTATTAATATCAAACAGATCAAGACTTGTAATGTTTAGTGTGACTTCTTCGAAATATCATCTTTAAGCCCTAATATTGCTAGATGTAATGTCACACAAAAATATTATTTTGATTGCATTAGGCTTAGATCAAGTTGTAAAAAAGTTGTTTTATTTATTAACAAAGAATTGTTCACCAAATCACCCCCTTTTCCTGAATTAAGCATTAATTTTATTGCACTTGATTTGGAAACAAATTGTAAATGTTATGCTAGGGAGATTTTTGGTCTAGTGAACGAGAGGGTGATCTTGAAGACCTAGATGGCGTTACAGATCGGGTAATCGACCTCTTTCGGGCATACCACGGACTACTGTCACTATAGCTGCTTACTGAAGATGGAGAACTTGGAGTCTGTCTGTGGTAAGGTATGGGTCTTTTTCTTGCGCTATGTTAGTAAATTAGTATGATGGTTAGTTTGTTAGTAGAACAGTTAACAATCATTATATATAATTTTCATGCAACTTACCTCCTAAAAGCATATAAAACGGATGCAGATAAATCTAAGTACTAAAAATAATATAACCAAATAAAAACAACAAAAAATAAACAACATACATTTATTATACACGATTATATTTAATAGAAAACCTATTTCTACGAAACTTAATATAATTGCAATTGACGTCATAAATAATTTAAAACAGATTATGTAACAAAATAATATGACAACTCAAAACTGTATGCGAGAAATGAAAATCCCTTATCGGTGTCTGAAATTAAAAAAAATATTGTGCAAACTAAAAAATAAAATATAATAAGTTTGACAATAAGAACTGTTCCAAATATACAGCTATATCTATATTAAAATTAAAAACATCTAAAAAGCAATGTTTAAACATTCATTCATAGTTTACCTGGTAATTCTTCTTCTGTCTAAGAAGCTGGGGGATCCATGCCTTCTAGGAATAGACGGGGATCGCGATCTAGAAGAATTGGATGACGAAGATGATGAACTACTGCTGGATGACGATCTGCTACGGGACCTACTGACTGATCTAGATCTGCTCGACCTAGACCGACGGCTACTGGATGATGACCGGCTTCTGCTTCTGCTGCAAATAAAAATTTAAGAAATACATTAAAATTACATTTTTCTAGTTTTATAACGGAATATGACCGTTTTAACACCACTTTTTAATGTGGAATTACCAACATTCTATAAGGTGTTACAAAATATTCATTTTACCACCGGTTTCAGTGTGAGAATAATTTCGATCTGGGTTGGGTTATCTTAGTCGTCTGTGGTATAAAAATTAAACATCTGTCAAACGGGTTTAACCTCACTTTCTCCTACTTCTTATTTATTTATTTGTTTTGAAGTACATAATTTTCATAAGAGTAGAAAAAGTTTAGTCTGAAACACGTTTGGAACTGCATATTTCGAATATGCTTTATTTTAAACTTGTTACAGAATATACTATATATGCAAAACCCATTTTCTAACGCCATTCAAGCCAAAAAAATACTTCCCAGAATACGACAGGACGGCAATACCACGGTTGTTTAACTGTGAGTGCTAAAAATCCTCGACTGACTGGCAAGGCAAGAGTAGAGTTTACAAATAATTTTTTGAATCAAAACGCTTAAAATTGGGAGCAATAATGAAAAATGTTATAAAGAAGAATAACCATTCTACCAAATATTAATGAATTATTTTTATTATTCCTTTTTTATTATAAAAAATATTTATATTTATTTTTCTCGGTCGCCCAATGAACACTAAGAAATTTATTGTGTTTTTGGCTAAATGATGGTGTTAGTTTTCTATTAAAAAATTCAATATGACCTGAGGTAATATGAGGAAAATTATAAAGTCCAACCCAAAGATAAGGTATTACCTTTGGTCCCACCCGGTTTGATCGTTCGCGAATACAAAACAACCAATAAGGATTGTCAAATGACAATGTGATTCAGTCTTAATTAGACAACTGCGAAAAACAGATCAAAATTGCAATAATATAGAGTAATGGTAGGTTTATTGTTATCGGTCAAACGTGGGCTTTTGAACAATCAACAAGCAGTAAACGTTAAAATATGACACCGCAACTCGAAGCCTTGAATTGCATAATATGCTATCGCTATTTGCATGGGAATTTTTGGTGTCCATAAGAGTATACTATCATGTGTATACTGAATGATAATGATTTCTTGTCACAATTCTTTTACTTACATAACTGACGTAAAAATCCCTATTTACAATACCCAATTAAAAAAAAAACATGCTACCTGATAAAAATAATTACTTTTTCAACTCTCAAATGCCGTAATATAGGAATAAGAATATTAAATCTGCCGTGCTTAATGAAAACGCCGTAACCAACAATTTTGCGACTTTTGATTTACGGCATTTTCTACTAGAACAATTCATCCTGCGTCTATCCCCGGTACTGAAAAAACCGTATCTATATATATATTTTTAATAGTATTTATAATTAAAAACAATAAAAAGTGCCAACATAATTCAATATAAAAATATAAGTAGCAACTATTTGCACGATTGTGGCAAAAAAGTAAAAGTTAAAAATGGAAAATGTTAAAGATAATTGCGAGATTCCCTTGCTTGTAGAAAAAATATTGTTCCTAACACATGCGCAAAGTAATTTTTCTGCTCCTACTTGCCCGAACTCCTCTTCGCGTCGTTTGTTCAATTGCAGTAGCGTACAAAAAAATATAATTTAGCGCACTTGTTAGGAAAATAAATGTTTTCGGCCACAACTATCATAGTACACTACATTTTGTAATGAGGTTGAGATGTCAAAAATCAGGTGTAGATAAAACGATTTTGCTATCACTTTTTTGTTTAAAATTACTTTGAAAATCAATAATTTTCTCAGTAGGAACGATTGTTGGTGTAAAAAGGGTGCGAAAACTTATAAATAAAGTATATGCACCAGTCTTGACAATACTTACAAATGAAGCATTTTAAGCTACGAATTAATTGAATGTGATTATGCAACAGGGAACCAACCCTAAAAAATTAGTTAAATGTATCACCCCTTACAGGGGACGCCTACAAAATGAGACAAGAGTACGTGCTTTACCCATAAACCAATTTCAAAATAGGTTTACATATTTGCGACAGTTCGGTTTTGTAGCGTAAACGATAAGTATATAAAAAAAGGTTTTTTTGTATTCAATTTCCCCTGTAGAAAGTAGAATGGATCCCATTTTATAACTCAACTAGGAGCGGCCTGTAAGGTTTAATTATATTTGATGTATAGTATAATATTTATGTCAATAAAATGTATATTGTTTTGTAAAAGTAGTGTTTATCCTTGATTTTGTTATATAGAAGAAAGAAATATTTCAATTAACTAAATAAAGTATCTTTCCGCATTTTTATTAATTAAAAATATTTTAGAAAAGTGGTCCTACATGTCCACATTACATTAAAGGAACTTACTTATTATATAAAAAATACAGAAAAAACAACGTGATAGATTAAAACTTTAGTACAGAATTAGCGATTAGATATAAACAAAATTAAAACGTTGAACCTAGAATACTAAGGTAATGAAAGAACCACAGTTGTGGCATAATGAGGGTTGGTTCTCTGTTCCAGAACACAATTATGTAGCTAAATATCCAACTTTTGTTTCTAGATTATGTTTATATTCTTTAAAGTATTTCAATCGTTTAAAAATCGCGGAAAAGTACTTACTGGAGGTGCGAATTTTAAATTTAAAACATTATTTATCGAACTTTATATAAAAATACGCTTTTAATGGTTTTATGGCAAGTTAAAAAGGTTTGAACTGTCAACGAAATTGGTCATACTCTTATTTTAATTTTTTCATATACTTCATTTGTAAGTCTTGACACGCATATTACACCAAAAGTATTGTACCGCCACGCGCTTCCTCGAAGGTTCTTAAAAATTGGTTGAGAAAGGTATGAAAAAAGTTAATTCACAAACTTGTATGGGCAGATCCCAAAAATTCAATACAAAATTGTGTAATTAGGTATTTTTAAAGTATTTTTTAAGTCGTAATTTGCTCTAGGCCTAGTTATTTAAATGCCTAGTCTTAGCTTTTAAAATTATAGTTATATTATTTAATTTCTTAATGAAATGAAATCACTGAAAGCATTTTTTAATATATAATAACAGTAAACTCATATGACTTTATGGAAAAAATGGTTTAAAAGTACAATACCTAAGCCGGAAAACCTGATATTACTTTAGCTTAATCTTTAATTCAATATTTCTGTAATGCCTCATATATATTATGCAGGTTGTCCCGAAAATGGCGCACTAACGGTATACCTGGAACTGGTCTTTTACCTTGTTACGTTGGTAAAGGTAGAAGAAAGATAATCAGCCCCATCTACCGTCCAACGGACGTGGCAGAACTCTGCATATACAGCATCATAGTGGGTGTAAAAATTATACTTTATTCAATTTGCTAAAAATTGAAAAAAAAATAAAATTTGTTATCTTGACAAACTTTCAGAAACTACCACAGACTACAACTGACAACAATGTTTACTTTAAGTCGCTGTGTTTTGTTTTCCACTGTTCTTAAGGTTAATTTTTTTTATCTGGACTGCGGCAACGTTGCAAATTTAGGGTTTTGGTTGGTAAATACAGTTGTCAAGTTGGTCGCATTGATTAAAACAAACTAAGCTAGTTATAAAACGAGACGTTAAATAACGCAAAGTATTCCAGTATATGCGCATGCGCCGTATATCCTATATTCTGTTACTAACTTCTAGCCGGTGCCCCAACATCGATCCCGACTGGACAAAGAATTTATTATATATTATACAATGCATCATTATCATTTAAAATTGACGGCACAACAATAATATAATAATAAATTGTACCTGTATACATGTTAAGGGCACGTTAGTTACGTAATAAAACCAAACCAACCCAAACTCAACAACACAACCCAACCGACCCCGCCCCATTGCCCCCCCCCGCCCCATTGAGCAAAAAACCCAACTAAAATGGGCAAATTTATGTTACGATAAAAATAAAACACTTTTTAACAAAGGAACAACAAATAAAAAAGTAAAAAAAATTCGACAACTTCTGAGTATCGAACCCGGGACCGCTCGCATGCAAAGCAAACGCCCTACCATCTAAGCTATTTAGCTTGACAACAAATTTTGTATGTTCGGGGAACAAAACCGGATTATTATTATGACGTCACGTTATAAGGCGTTGGTAATGGAATACTTTGCGTTATTTAACGTCTCGTGTTATAAATCTAATTGTGGTTATGTATAAATTATTGTAGGTTACATTGTGCAGTTGTCAAGTTGAGTTGTCGAAATTCGTAGTTAAAAATGCAATTAATTTGGCTTTGGTGGTGCTTGGATGAGTAAAATCATATAAAAAGTAGTTAAATATAGGTTGCTTTACGGCCCAGAAGAGAAAGTATTCCTAGCGGATAATAATCTTCACTTTGAAAAGAATTTATATAAAAGAAATTAAAATTTTTTGTGAACGTAAATGTTGTCCAGTGGTGAATAATGTGAAAATAATGTGTGATGTAATATTTATAAAACCAAATTCGTTACTTTTTTACTCCAAAAATGTCCATAAGGCGATGTACTTATCCTTCCATTGTGGCATTTGGCATAATTTCATCAAAATGAAGTTTTGCCATCAAAAGGGCTTTTACATTCGAATTCGTTGCTATTATTTTTGGCATAATTATCTTTTTATTTATAATTGACAAGTAAATTATCAATAATTAATATTATTGTCAATTTGACAGTGTCAAGGTATTTAATTAAATTCTTTAGCAGAAGTACAATTTTTAAATACTAAAAATACTAAGTCAAACTGGCATAAGCCACCAACCAAACAAAAAAAACACGAGTCCAGATAAAAAAAATGAACTGTAGATGTTTCATGAAACGGTTTAAGAAATACACAGCCGAGTTTATTATAATAAATTACGCAATAATTTTCCGACATGTTTCGGGTTAGCATTTTCGGGAGACCCTGTTATTTTTTCGATAAATAAAACTTTACTTTTAAAAATTTACCTTCTGCTAGAACGAGAGTAACTCCTGCTTCTAGTTCTGGTTCTCCTAGGTATTGGCTTCTTCTCCTTCGATAGAGATCTTGACTCGCTTCTGGTTGCACCTTTTCCGTTTTTTATTTTTGAAATATCAAAATCATCCTTATTTATGGTTTTTTGTGGAACGCTTCTCTCGTCTTTTTTTAAAGGGAGAACCTTAATGTCAAAATCGTCGGGTTGTATCTTTTTAGGACTAACTGGTTTAATAACAATGCTTTTCTTCTTTTCAAGACTGTCCCTTGCTTTTGCTGCTAATCCAGATTTAAGAAGACGCAAAGTCCTCATCTCCTTCTCATCCATGACCAAGTCCTTTTCAAATTCTCTATCTGGTAGTTCACCTTCGCTTGAAGATGCTATTCTTAGTCGTACCACTGGCACTGGCTTCTTTGGAGACTTTTCGGCTCTTTTTATTTTTTCTGGCGTTGGGCTGCGGGATTTGGATCTTCTTGTTTTCGATGTTTTCTCTGGAGGACTTTTGTTTCTCTTGGAAATACTGTGACTTCTTCTTTCTCTACTTTCCTCGCGGTTCTTGTACTGAAGTGGAGGTTGTCTTCGAGGCGGTGAAATAGACCTACGATTTCTGAAACTAGATTCTTCTTCTCTAGATCTTACAGGCTTTTGGTCTCTCTGTCTAGAGTCTTCTACGACACCTCTAGGGTATTTGGGTGATGCAGAACGCTTACGGGACCTGCTTCTGCTCTTGGATCGATAAGGTTTAGATGATTTTGGTGCTTCTTTGGAAACAGTACGATTCGGCGAAGGCTTTTTCGTTTCCCTCCTTTTCTCGTAATCAACATAACTTCTACTCCTGCTTCTATCCGTATAACCATATTTAATGTCATTCTTCTCTTTGTGTTTGCGATTTGGCGAAACGGAACGCTTTCGTTTTGACAGAGGCGACGTACTGACTTTTCTTGTTTCAGGAGTATTGGATCTTCGACGTTTTTCTCTGTTATTTCTATCGACTTTTTCTAGCGATTTTGAACGATTTCGTTTTTCCAAAGATCTAGATCTATCTCTTCTAGATTTAACTTCTCTAGATCTTGACTCTCTATCCCTATTCTTTTTCCACTTATTATCCAAAGAATTCGATCTGGATCTATATCTGGGCTTAGATTTGTACTCTCTTGAATTAGATCTAGATTTTCTTACTTCAGATGTCTTTCTCTTGTTGTCAAATGTTTCCGGGGTTTGCCTCTTTTTATCATTTGAACTCCTAGATTTTCTACCAACCTTTTCTTCATACTTGCTAGATTTACTTCTTTGTTGATCCCTTTCTCTGGATCGTCTACGGGGAGACCTACTTTTTCTTGACTCAGTTCGTTTGTAGGATTCTTCAATTGATGGAGATCTGTTTCTGTCTTTCTTATCTTTATCTTTACCCTTGTGTTTATCCTTTTTCGGTTTGTTGCTTTTTTCTTTTTCCTTTTCTTTGCGGGACTTTTTCTTTGACTCAGGTGAACTACGAAGTAATAACAAATACTGAAGATAAATAGTTATCTTTAAATAATAATCTTCTTACCTGTCGCGTTCGCTATCAGTAGAAGAATGGCGTTTCTTTTTGGGACTTTTCTTTTTCTGTTGAACAATTTTATAAGTTAATAAACAGCAATTGCAATATTTTCAAAAAACACTCAGGTGCTTAAAAAATATATCAAAAAATTCTACAAAAATGATTTGAAAAACCTTGTATTGCAACTTTAAAAAAATTTAATAGAAAACTAAGGTATCACTAAAATTTGTACCCTAAATAGCTGTATGGTAGTTAAATTTTAATAAGGTAAGATCGCATTATATGAGAAGCAGACTTCAAAGTTTTAATTCTAATTTACATTTTAAATCTTTTTCCTAGTTTTTTTCCCTATCTTTTAATCTTTGAATTAGAATAAAACTTTTTGACAAAATGCAAGTTGCAAGTCTGCTCCTCAAATGTTGTATTTTCTATAGGAGTAATAGAGTTTGTGAAATTTAAATTTTCGGCTAATTTATTTTCATTTTAGAGTCAAGTAAAATACTTTTAAATGCCGTGGATGGTATGGGGAACCCTTAGTTTCAATATTAAAACATAACTACCTAACTAATTTAAGTTTAATTTTTCATTAGGTATTAAATACCAATAAATATAATTATTTTATTTTGTAGCTGTCATCAATTTGTAGCAATAAACTGATAACATCTTCAATATTATATTGATCGTATCCAGAAAATTTAAATAAAATAATAATAAACAGAATCTATTAATTTTCTGGATACCAATAAATTATTGTAAATATTTTAACCAATGGGTTTCTTAAAGCATGCAGACTCGAGTGCTAGATATTGGCCCCCAAAGGGGACCAGTTGTACTTACTAGCGTCGTTGCAAGCCGCTCAGGCTATCCTATGAAATGATGCGCAAGGTTCAAACAGAACAATGTTTTACTTACAATCAAAAGTAAATGTGGCCAGCATGCATTATTAATTCTTGTTATAAAATAAATAAAAAGTTTACTAATATTGTGTGGATGAAGTTTGTTTTATTGATTTTTAGCAGTGTTATGTTTAACTAGAAAATATGTTACGATGTTTATTTTAAAATTGTTACTACTAAAATAAATTATGGCATGTTTAATAGAAGGGAAATGTGTTAAATGTTTTCTAAATAAAACCCTCTACAATGCTGAATAAATGAACCTTTAAAAAGCACTATAGAATTTTTAGAAGGAAATATTCACTAGTATTTGATACCTCATCATTCCTCTCTTAATATTTTTTCTTTTCTTTTTGATAACATTAATCCATATACAACCACTAACCTCTTTCTTTTTTAGCCGTTTCTTCTTTTTGTCTTCTTCGCTTGAAGAATCTTCACCATCGGAACTGTCGGACTCGGAGGAAACCGAAGAATGGCGCTTACGTTTCTTCTTTTTGTCCTTGGATTTACCAGATCTACAGAAAAAAAATATTGCATAAAAATCAATAAACTAAATTATATGATAGTAAATCTTTTAAAAAGTGAACATACATAGGTAAAATATAAAAATAAAATAATTAAAATGAAATATCGAATTAGAATAATGAATATTTTTACCAATGTATGTCCTTTTTACTTTTTTTGCAAAAAGAACAGCGTTTTATACACTGAATATTAATTAAAATGTGAATTCTAATTGCTTTGACGCACCTTCAGTCCACAGTACATAAGTTGAGCTGCTAGACATACGCACACAGTATCAATTTTTTTTCGAATTTATTTAAAAAACCAAAACAGTAAAACATTACCTGACTAAGGCCTTCTTTAAATGTACGGCAAAAAAATATACCACCAGTTAATTAGTAAATTGGGAAATGGTAAGCACGCAAAATAGGCAGGGAAGATTTAAGAGTTTATAGAAAATTTTAAATTAAGGTTTTATAGGAATAAGGAAGAGGTGAAATATAAAAACATAAACAGTATTTTAAAAACCAAATTATTTAGAAAATATCTTATTTTATTTTATATTTAGGTTTTTGTTTCACCTCTCCAAGAAAAAGTAAATTTAAGGAGATTAATTCATACACACAGAAAGTTCAAACGTGCGTCCAAAAATTACCTTTCTTTTCGTTTTTTGGATTTCTTCTTTTTCTTTTTTGGTTCATCACTTGAGGAACTAAGAATAACAAAAAAATGAAATAAGTAAATCAACATTCTTCATTAACTGACTGATGCTTTAAAATTAAACCATGTGTCAAAAATTTAATTCAGTTTCCATGGTATTTAAATAGGTACACTAATGTTTTTTTCTTTAATCACAGAGATTGGCTTGTCTTTTAGTAGTAGTCATTCAAATATATATGTATGAGTTTTTTTGTTAGTACATGGGGCAAAACAGGCCAAGTTTCCTACTAAAAACTTAAGTTGTTTCCAATTTTGATGAAACTTTGCATCCTATCGGACTACTTTAATTAAGCAAAAGGGCAGCAGAAAGGACTGACAGGTTGCATATATGCAGGGGCTTGAAATTTTTCATTTTCTTTTGTGACAGTTTTTTGGTTGATAAGAAAAATATTAATGATTTTTTTTTTAAATCGACAAATAATATTTCCTATATCTTTTTTTCGTGCTTTAAGATAAAGGTGGTTTCAAAAGCGAAACAAAATTTTTTGGCTAAGAAAAATTGATATAAAAAATATTTTTACTTTTTTCTCAAAATGGGACCATTTTGATTTTTTTAAATAAGTACTAAAAAAGCCTAGGGTTTATGCTCTGTTTATAAAGATTAATAATTGTTTTAAACGTTGTGTGTCTTACAGAGGCACTTGTAAGCCTAAAAAGAGTCCTTAACACAGAACATAAGGTCCTTAAAGTGCAACCATTTTACTCCTCTTGTAAAAAATAAACCTTATTACATCAGGGCTGTCATCAAACTGTCAAATGTCAATTTTAAGGTTAATTTACAATAACCCACAAATTAACCTTAAAATTGACATTTGGCAGTTTGATTTTATTTTTTACAAAAGAGGAGTAAAATGGTTGCCCTTAGCACTTTAAGGCCTCTTTTAATGCTTACAAGTGCCTCTATGAGAAGCACAACGTTTAAAACGATTATTAATCTGTATAAACAGAGCACAAACCTAAGCACAATAATTGTAAACAACAAAAATGGCCGCCGTTTAACTCTGGACAGTGTTGCAATGATTTTTAGTATTTTTAGTACAAAATAGAACAGACCTTCTTGTGTGGATTGTGGGGCTAATACCCTTCAATGGGTTGGTCAATCCATATCAAATCAAGCAATGATGGTTGCTGACAAAATTTATTTATTTTTTATTGTTTTTTTACCCATGTTTGTACTATACTCAGAGAGTTAAAAACAGCTAGGAATTCATTAATTTTTTAGATGTTCAGGTTTTTTGTTAGCGGTCACTTCGTGACTTATAAATTTTTAAAAATGTCTAGCTAAAAAATGTAACTCTCATTGATGAAATTTAAACAACTTATTACTAAAAAAATAAAATAATGCTTTCTAAAAAAATTTTGATTTTTAAAGTATGTCCATTTTGAGATATTTCAGATTGAAAAAAACGATTTTAGACGAATCGCAATATTTTGGCTATTTTAAAAAAGGTCTGGACTAAAAAAATAATTAATGAAATTAAAATAAATAAGTAATGAAATTCAACTCAAAACAATATTAAATTAATTTGATATGGATTGACCCTAGCATAAAAAATGACGGAGACCATAAAATACAGGCCGATGCGTTTTTTTGCCATGCACCACCTTTAAGGATTAACTTTAGCCTTCATAAACTTTATTATGTTTTTTAACTTTTTAAAAAGACAATTAAGTAAAAAATTAAAACAATAATTTATGTGACAGATACCTAACCTCAATTCTACTAAAAGTGACGAATACCTAACCTAAAATGTACGTTACTTAGTTATAACCAAGGTCGGTCTGCACTTTTTTAACATTTATTCTCTAACACCATGTATAAACTTTTAGAATGACTCATTCATAATTTAGAAACACCCTGTATATAGTTATAATAATTAAGAATTTTATTATATTCAGCTTACCTTTCTTTATGCTTTCTTTTCTTTTTCTTAGCAGGCTTATCGACAGACTTTTCTGGTTCCGGACTTGGCGTGTGCACCAACTGATACCTGTCAGCGCCACCTTTTTCGTTTTCTTTATCAAGAGCCAATTGCTTTTCTTTCTCAGCTATGGCCTCGGTTTTTGCCAGTTTTTCCTTGGCTTCGCGATTTGGATCGAAGCTGCTGCCATCTACGAAATACTCTGAAATGCCGAACGCCTCTCTTAGCCGTTGATTCTTTTCTTGCTGTGCCTCGGCCACCTGATGAGTTTCGGTAACACTGAAGCAAGTTAAGAAAATAAGTAAAAAATTTATAAAAAGTTATACTTAAAAAAGTTTATTGCATTTTTAAAACTTTAAATCTATCCAACTATTATACATATCATACGTTTAAAAAATGCAATACACCTAGTTTAAAATAAAATTAGAGAATTTTGGTTTAGATTTATAAATAGTACTATATAATTATAATAATAAATGCAGGTAATTTCCAAAGCTATTATTAGGCCATATTTATTTTAATTGATTTGCGAACACCATATTTCGTGGTTAATATACAAGGACAACCAAACATGGGTTTTAAATCCGCACTAAAGAATTATATATTTTATTCAACACTCATATCATTTCTTAACCGGTGGGAAAAAAATTACGTTGACCACTAGTGAGAGAAAAAGTGAGGTTAAAAATGCTTGACAATGGGCAGATGTCAGATAAAATATCATGAATAACAACTATAGTTAAATAACATATCGATGACTTTCTGCCAAAGTATCGTAAGCAACATAACTAAAATTTCGGGAATCGAAAACATTTTTTGTCTTAAAGACTGTTTCAAATTAAATATAGCCTAAAGGTTTTATAACAAGTAAATAGCTTATAATTATAGCTATTTACTTGTTATAAAACCTATAGGTTATATATGGGTTAAAACAGATTTTAAAATAAAAAATGTTTTCAATTCCCGAAATTTGAGTTATGTTGCTTACGATACTTTGGCAGAAAGTCATCGATATTATGTGCGACTATTGGCTAAAAGAGGAGATTCCACGTTCGAGGAATCTCCTGTTCTTCTCACTAGTCGCATAATATACTTTATTTTAAACATTATTTGCGTATGTTATTTGTCACATAATACACGGTCCGGCAAAAAGTTTGCCCCATTTTTAAAGGGTCATTACTTGGCTTGTGGGGGGATGGAGCAGTGCGCGTGCATGCCATTTTCAGTCGTCATAATGAATCTGTCAAAAATATTTGGGATATCAAAAAAAATCAAACCAATAAAAAGCTTTCTATTTTTTAAAGGTAATACGTAAGGGGTTTTTTAAATAAAATGTAAGACCCTTACGTCATGTGACATTGGGTGGCCTCCGCGTTCGCCTGATTTTACCCCTTGTGATTTTTTTGTAATAAGTAATAAGGCAAGAAATTAACGCAATTCCGCAAAACATGGCGTGCAGAGCAATGACGAGCTGTCGCAATAGGCTTCAAATATGGATTGATAATAACGGTCATTATTTTTAAAATATGAAATGTATGAAATAATATGTTTCCTAGTTTCTTAGTTTGATTTGTATTGACATCCCAAATATTTCTGACAGATTCATTATGACGACTGAAAATGGCATGCATACATCTAAAGCAACCACGCGAACCTTTTGCAAATGGGGCAACCTTTTTGCCGCACCCTGTATAAAATAATTGTATATTACATAAATTACTATTGTTTTTAACTATTGCGTTAGTACACCCAGTCCACAATAAAATTTAATTTACATCAATCTAAACCAAAACTCGTTATATTAACAATGTTTTATTACTTTTCCGTGCTGTCATTCTCATAATTACAACACACCATTTCTGATTTAAATTCCAGTTCTAAATTCTGAACCTTGTTAAAAGTTCATTTTTGCGTGATGTTAAAAGGGGTCTGCAATGAACAGTAACGTTTACATTAAATTCGCAATTTAACTTCGAACGTTGGCAATTTAATATGTTTTCTAATAAAGGTAACAAATTTGACCAATTAAATTAGAAAGTAAAGTTATTATATTGAAAGGCTATTATCAAAAAACTTAATATAACATAAAACTTTGTAATTATTAAATCTTAAGTTTGTTACCCTTAATAAGCCAACAAACCCTAAGCCAATAATAAACACTCACGAAAAACAATCACAATCAATAAAAAACGTCACAAATTCGATGTTTACTCCGGTAAAACTTGTGTGCCTCTAAAGAAATAGGAAGTCCCAACACCGCTTCCAAAAATGGTAAATCAATAGTGTTTCACCCCAACTGTTTCTATCGAGGGTGGTGTCGGTAATGGAGGGGGCACCTCGTTTCGCAACACCGACCAGATTGGGTTGCATAACGCGTGACGTGCACGAACAATGCCACACGTTCCTGTTAATTTTAAATGCAGCACGCAAACGGGACTTTGATTAATTTTTCCCTGTGAGCTTTTTTTAAATTTTAACCCTAACTGCCCAAGAAAATATTTACTTGTAAATTATAATATAATAACAAGAGGGGCATGGCGTTCTGGCTTCGTTTTCACACAAATTAAATAGTAACGAGGGTAATCATTTAAATTATTTAATACTTTAGTGGTAAACTTTAATGGTAATTCGGGTAATCCGAAAATGAGCTTACAGGATTATGGGAAATTCCATTGAATAAATAATTTCAAACCAGCTATAATTTAAATAGTTAAAAGTTAAAAAGTTATCTTTGATAATTAAATAGTACTTATTATTTTACAATTCGCGACCTGAGAATTAGATTGTTCTATCTGCCAAAATTTAAAGAGGAACAAATAGCAGTTTAAAGTTTAATTTATATACAAATGAAATTTTAAAAAGCTGTTTTTCCGTGTTTAGATTTTGGGAGATTCTATCTTTCAAAAATCTGACACGGAAAAACAGCTTTTTAAAATTTCATTTGTATATAAATTAAACTTTAAACTGCTATTTGTTCCTCTTTAAATTTTGGCAGATAGAACAATCTAATTCTCAGGTCGCGAATTTAAGATCAAAATCTTCGAAAAGGTCGACATTTTAATGAAATATTTGAGGTACCGGTAGTACCGTACCACTACTAACGATACTCCCCTCTTAACGGTTGTTCATATTAACAGCATATCACCTATTAACTTGTCACTGAATATCGTGCATTTACTATGACAAAGTTACATTCGCAAATTTCAAAATACACCCCTCATATCTAAAATATATTATATTATTTACAGACAATAAGACAAAATTGGCGTTAAACTTACAGACCACAAATATGAGGCTGCGTTCCTCAATAAAATGACAATGTGGGCATTATTGGTGTGGAGCATAGTTCCAATATCGTTTTTTTTGCTCTAACATGATTAGAATATGCCGAAATAATAATTCAGTTCAACCCTTCATGCCAATTTTAAGAGGTTCCTCATCAAGTTTAAAATTTTTTAATTGAAGTAAGTAACATTTTTTTTTTCAATATTTCTTCCTGCAACCTGTTGGCCTTTTGTATACAAGGTGATATTTTGCGAGCAGTCACTTACTACCAAAACACATATTCACACGTAATTACAATTGTTCGAGTGAACGCAGTGTCGTAGAAACAGGGGTTGCTTAAGCTCATTGTCCCATACAAACTTTGAGGTTAGGTGTTTATACCATTTGATGCAATTATTCGATTACTCAGTTCGGCTACTATTTAAAAGGTGTACCTCTCAAACTTCGATAAAATAAACCGTTTCCGAGATATTCGAGATTACAATAATTGTTATATCGCGTTAATGGACTAACAAATTTTTTAATTGAAAAAACTACAATTTTTTTAATGTGACGTTCAGGGCAAAAAGTCCCGAGGCTCATGGAATGCCCTTTTTAGTTTTTTCAATTAAAAAATAAAATTTGTTATCATATACCTTTTAATCCTTTTAAATAATGCGATATATTAATTATAGTAAATTCGCATATCTCGGAAACGGTTTATTTTATCGAAGTTTAAGAGGTACACCTTTTTAATGGTAGCCGAACTGTGTAATCTAAAAATTGCATTAAATGTTATAAAAACCTAACCTTAAAATTTGTACGGGAGAATAAGCTTAAAGCAACCCCCGTTTCTACGACACAGTGTTCACTCAAACAATTGTAATTATGTGTGAATATGTGTTTTGGAAGTAAGTGACTGTTCGCAAAATATCACCTTTCCAAGACTACCATAGTAGAAGTTATATTAAAAAAACTAATATGATAAGTAACACTTTATCATCCTGTATCATGGAAACATAAGTAATTAGAAAAAATATTTATTTAGGTTTTCGTCTTATTTTGACTTGCTCAATCTTTTCCTAAATTTATGCCAATAAGTTTAGGGACACCTTGTATAATAAAAATAAAATCTTATAAGACTTTTAGAAGGACCACAAACGAATATTTTCACTAAATTTAATAAAATAATTAGGTTATTCCAGAGTATATTTTAAAAAATTTAAAAATTCAATTTTTTTTTAATTCAGCCACTAAGCGATAGGCAGTATAACTCAAGATAGCTTTATCCGAAATCAAAAAACAAAATACTGTCTGTTAGTAGGTGAGTATAGCTCATCACTAAACGAAGGATTTAATAAACTTCAATAAGATTGGGGCAATAGTTTTTTAAAAATCCTGCCTACCGACTGAAAATGGAGTTTGGAGAAAAAACTATCAAAGACATGTGCAAAGATTTTTTGCATTAATAAATTATTATTAATGGGAGAAGTTTCTAGGGGCCCTATAGTTTCGATTGATTTAAAAAGGAAAATACTCTTGAAATAGTTTTTTTTAAATTTCTAAACATGTAACAATTTTAGAATAACGCTTAAAAAATAAAATTTGTTACTAATAACAACGTTTCGTATTAAAGAATTTTTACATTTCTTATATATTTTCAATTTAAATAGTGGCTTAGTCTTGAACTGTGTCATATTTTTTCTCCACGAGTCTTGTCCAATGAGATGACGAGATTTTACTTTTTCCCTACGGTATAAATACTATAGTATTTATCATTGCTATGGCGATTATACGGTGGTTCATTGTTTTCTTAAAAACTAATTGACACTGACATTTTTCATCGAATCTGTGGTTATGGTAAATACAAAAAATTGTACTAAACTCTTTAATAAAATTAGAAAAAGTATAATGTTCGCCATTTCTATTCGTATGAATTACTTTACTCGCCTTCGGCTCATGTCGCAATATTTCATCCTCATGGCCATCTTTTTCAATTGTAGAACAATATGGGTACAATATTAACACAAACTTGAAAAAAGCTTAAAGGAAACTTCACTTTTTAATACTTAAAATCGGATGTATATTATTCGCGTTTTTAATAACGTTATTTAAAAAGATTTTACAGGTTCCTATATTAAAGTGATTTTTTATATACATGCTATTGTACACTTTTTATAATTTGGAAAAAACTTTACCTCACGACGGATCTTAACGTTTTCCTTGGGTTGGCATTATTGTAATACTGTTGCACAGCATGTTGTTGTTGGTGTTGACGTGGTGGGTTGTTTGGGTTGTTGCTGGTCTCACAGTGGCAATGACAACAACACTCCTTTCTGCTGTACCTCGGAGTGGCCAAAGGCATTAACGCGGCAGGAGCTTGTCTTTTGCCTAGCGCCTGGCAAAGCGCGCCGCGCCACAACCTCTCGAAAATAATTCTCTCGTCGGTATTGTAACGATTACGCGGCCCGTAAAACATGTTTTGTGTATATACTTATATTTAAATTAATTAATACTTTTGGAAGCAAAGGATTATTATCACCTTTCGACCAGACGGCTGGTCACACTTAACTAAATCCTAACACTAATAACTTCTGGAAGACTTAATATCACTAGAGGTAGCGATTTCATGTGGAAGACATATTGGATTTTGTGTTTATACTTAAGATTAGATTTTTGGTTTTTTGGGCTTCATATTAACGCTTGGCCAGCATTAGCCACACTGATGTATACAGGACGTCGACAGTGGGAAAGTAAGGATGCGCGCAGGATTGCGACCGGATCGATTTTATTCGGTGAGATTTTGGAGGAAGCTGTTACCGCCGTTTAAGCGGAGGTTTATTCCTCTACTTGCGTCCATTAATATAATAATTACAGGAGCTCTTAAACTTAATAAAGGCAACATAGAAATCCAGCTTAAATGAGTTATTAACACTTTTATCTTTTTTGTGTTGCACAAAGGAAGAAAGTACTTATAATTTTTGGTCTAGGGGCATCTGATCTTTTCAATACAGGGTGTCCAAGTAGTCGCGCAGAACTTTAAAATATTATAGACCCCCAGGAATGCCATAAAATTGTTCCTTTATTAATTAAAAATATATGAAAGCGTTAACATTAAGTTTTTTTAACTTAAAAATAATATGTTTACATTGTTTATATTGTTTAAATTATTATATTAGACGGAGAGCTGGCGGCTGAAATTTTTTGAGGTGGTTGGCGGAACCATAAGGAAGTATCATCTACAAGGATTTTGCTTAAACCCCCAACAACCAAAAAAAAGATTTTTCTTGTCTGGGACGTCCACAACTCTGTGGGTAAAAGGCATAAGGGGATAAGTCAAAAAAAGCAATTTTTCAGTAGAACCTTAATCGTATTCGCATTAATTCAGGAAACATATTTATGGTTAGCGGGTATACCCTTTTGTTAGCACATGTCATATGCTAACAGAAGCGTATACCCGCTAAACATAAATATTGTTCCTAAATTAATGCAAACAGGTTAAAGTCTCTATTGAAAAATTGCTTTTTTTGACTTATCCCCTTGTGCCTTTTACCCACAGCTACTGTCCATAATTAAAATTATCTCTACTTATATAGAATATTTTTTGCCTTTCTTTTATTTAATGTATAGGCTAATAAAACAACAATATTTTTGATAGTTTTCATGCCAAAATAATTTACAAAAAATTACCTACAATTTTTTTAATAAAAATAGTTTTGTGATTTGCCCTTTCCGCATGCTCTAATGGCCCACGATTCCTTCCGAAAATCTAAGACCTAATGTCCCATACAATTTGTTTTGAATTCGCAAATTGAATTGCAGGAGCAATATCATTTTTAATGCTACCAATGAGAGCGCAGTGTTTCTGCTCTATCGAACGAGTTTTTTTTAATATTTTTTGTATTTACAAAAGACGCTGATATTCCACCATTGGGAAAAAGTAAATAAAAACAAATTCGGTGCGTGTTGTCGCATGCGCGGCTCCCTTAAAAATTAAATAATAAAATAGTTATGGAACACGCGTCCTGAAATTTTAAGCAATCTTTACCCTTTGGGGCGCCAATTTATTTATTGCCGGTCTTAAAAATTAAATAACTCCTGAAATTTTGGGAATTCGAAAAAATGGTAATGGAAAGTTCGTCTTAAATTTTCGTAAGGAATCGACTGACTGAGGCACGCTATAAAACTATAATTTTATCAGATAAAGTCGTTGACAATTTAATTTCAAATCTACATATATAATATATGTAATAAAATTTTCAAAAACTTTATCTTATACAATTTTTCTATAAATAATAAATAAAGGTAATACTTTTTATGTTGTCTTAATTTTTGAGCACCCTGTACATTTGATTTCACAATTTTTTATGGGAATCTTATTTTTTTAAACAATTAGGAGTTTTTATAAGGTAAAGGTACATAGGTACAATCTCTCTTAAAGCATTTTCAAGTTTTCTTAATTTCCGAGCACATTTAATTCAAAGTGTTTTAATAGGAATCTTATGTTTAAAACAAGCAGGCGTTTTTATGAAAAATGATTTTTTGTCGTAAAATAATAAAAAAGTGTTTTCTATTGGCAATCAAATTCGAAGACACAAAGTGTTTTACACACAGTTTATAGCTTAATTGAGCTAAGCTAGGAACACCCTTCGGAGGTTCAATTTCTGTGAGCCAATATTACCAATATCAGGAGTCAATTTTTGGTTATAATTTCACTGTCGCAACACGTTATGCCACCAAAATTCCGACCTACGGCGGGTAGTTCTGCATTTCGCGGCATTACAGGGGGATGTTGCGGCAGTCTTTTCGTCTGAAGATTAAGGGTTAGATTAAGGGTTAAGTGGAGTAGCCTGGCTAGACTTCGCCTTTTAATTATTGTATTTTGTATACGTAATTAATAAAGACATTATTATTATTACTATTATTATTATTATATTATATGTGTATGAAAAGATAATATCGATGACTTTCTGCCAAAGTATCGTAAGCAACATAACTAAAATTTCGGGAATCGAAAACATTTTTTGTCTTAAAAACTGTTTCAAATTAAATAAGCCTAAAGGTTTTATAACAAGTAAATAGCTTATAATTATAGCTATTTACTTGTTACAAAACCTATATGACATATAACAGATTTTAAAATAAAAAATGTTTTCAATTCCCGAAATTTGAGTTATGTTACTTACGATACTTTGGCAGAAAGTCATCGATATGTTAAAACGTAAGATGAAGGTAAAATATATATAAAAAAAAAAATTTAAAGGCGTCCGACACTCCTTTAGCACTGACCTAGCGGTCTGAGCAATTACATACCTCATCTATGGCCGGAGGTACGAATACTTTTTAAGCAATTTTTTTTTCAACAAGCAAAATCCTTGCAGATGACACTTTCTAATGGTTCTGCCATCCACCTCACAAAATTATAGTCGGCGGTATGAATCATACCGTATGATCCAGCTCTTAGTTTACAGTGTGTATTAAACCAAATAGATACAATGATAATAAATCCCACCTCCTCTCATGCGCCGAGAAGTGGTTGTTTTCAGAAAACCAAAAGTGGTAGCAAGTTTTCGATTGAATGGTATTTAATGATACACTCAAGTACTCTATTAAATTACCAATAGTCTAGTCTAGGAAGTTTTCTTAATCGTAAGTTTATTATTCTCAAACTGTCAAACCACTTAATTTCTGTGACAAAACATACATTATTCAGAAATTCAGGGAATTACAGAACAACTTGCTTAGGTACTTTTACTAAATTAGCATTATATTTAACAAAAACAATTCAGTCTAAAATAATGGTATATAATAATCGAAAACAGTAATAAATTGTACATAAATTGACGATGGTACAAATTACAAAAAAATTGTATAAATACTATTATAATGGTACAACTATCTCGCGACAGTGTGACAGTCTGAGAATTGCATTGAAATGTCTTTCCTACACAATCCACCAGACAACTTTCTGCTCAGTTTGATATTTCTAAGGATACGGTTTCCAAGCAAACGCAAACATGGGTATAATCATTATACACTGAAGAGGGGTAAAGAGCAACACCAAGGAGACATATCACCGCATGAAATTTTGCGAATATGTAATATATGAATAAAGGGAACAAGGACTTCTTTATGCCATGATCGTCACAATTCCCAAAATACCCGAATAAAGCGCCCCCTGAAATTAAATGTTTGGGCTGGAATTCTTGGTAATAATCTTAATAGGCAAAAGTATCTGCATGGAGCACCTTGAAAATCAAATTGTTCCGGCACTTAAAAATTTGACAATCCCTTTTGAAAGCATATGGTTTCAACAAGACGGGTGTCCTGCACATGGTACCTTGTCAAAGAATATTTAAATGAAAACATCCGAATCGCCTGATAGGTCGTCATGGAGGATTCTTGAGGGAATACGTCAAGTCAAAACTTTAAGGATAATAATCTCAATGAATTAAGGGAGATATTGGCCCTGAAATGCTGTTTAACTTGCGCAGGAATTTTTATGATAGGCTTGGGTATTGTTTAACTGCTGCTGATAGCCTATTTGAACATTTATGTTGGGAAAAAAATATGTTCGTTTTTTAAGAATTATTTTTATTTCAGAATTTATAGTTTTTATTTTTAATAAATTCGTAGTATTGTTTAAAAACCCTTAGTTTAACTATTAAGTTTAACCTCATCGTAACGATTTCTTAAAAATTCAAACTTGCCCCATGGTGGGGCCTCCGCCCGCAAAAATACCAAATATCTACAAAGTCTTAAGATTAGTGGAACCATTAAACTTTTTATTTTTTTATGTAAAAAACTTTAGAAAAAGTTTAAACACTTTCGTGCCCCTAAAATTTTGATTTTGAATTAATAATATAAACAATGGGTTTAATATTATTTATCAAGTTTTATAAACGCCATTTTAGTTACGAGTTTTATTAGGCACGAGCGAAGATTGCCAGCGAGTGTTTAAAATAAAAACGAGTGTCTAGAGAAGTTTATAAAACGGGTTGCTTACTATACGACGAACAGAAAGAAGATTTTAAAGCCAATTTTATTTGTTAAACATTTGACATCTGTCAACTTTTCCACTTTCAAATCAGACGGGGAAGAGAGTAGATGTGTGAGTTCGAGCGCTCTTAGTACCTATCCACAATAAAACTCTTAAAGAAACAAGAATCGCGAAAAAGTGCTACTACTTTGGTTTACGACATACCTGTACAGGTGAAATCAGGGTACCTGTTCTCAAAAAGCTTAATAGTTCCTCAAAAGATTGCCTCAACGGGTGAACACAGGGGTGAGGTCCGTGCGGACACGGAAGTAATAAAGTGACAGGGGATAGGTCAAGGAATCACCTATTTAAAGAAAAAACTAGTCTAACCAAGAGTGGAAGGGGCCATCATCTGCAGAATCTGATAAGTATCAATGCATGACTTAATACGCAAATCTGTAACAAAAACCTGTCAATAATTAATCATTATCGATAACAGCGTATGATTGTAAAAAAAAACAAATCAAGTAAGAACGTCACAATATTATATTATTGTATTATATATATTATATAATATATGCATAAACTTACAGGCCAGCCCTATAAAATTAATTAATTAATAAAAACGAATATGAAAGTAAAATATACAGTATCTTAATAAACAAAAAGAGGACGTAATAAGACTAACCTAAACAAACCATATCTATT